GACCCACACCCCACACACCCACACCCACATTCACACCCGACCCACACCCCACACACCCACACCCACATTCACACCCGACCCACACCCCACACACCCACACCCACAGCCACACCCACAGCCACAGCCACAGCCACAGCCATCCACAGCCACCCACACACCCACACCCACCCACCCTCGACTCTTTTTTGAATTTACTCTTCATAAAATAAATTCTGATATGTTGCCATTATGAATAAATTTCATCAAGAACTCAATATTAATTCAATGATATCGAGTCTTTTTTGAATTTACTCACCGTAAAATAATTTCTGATATGATGCCATTATGATTAAATTTCATGAAGAACTCAATATTCATTGAATGATGTCGAGTGTTTTTTGAATTTACTCTTCATAAAGTAAATTCTGATATGATGCCATTATGATTAAATTTCATCAAGAACTCAATATTCATTGAATAACTTCCAAAGGACCTACTGCAAAACAAATTCGAACAGATGACATTTCATCTCCAACTGAAAATCCAGGCAAAGTTGATATTAATCAATCAACATCATCTTCTTTGTTATCAACTCTCAAAGAATTGAATGCTAACTTTGCTCATTTACGTCAACAAGTAGCTAGTCTTTCAGACAAATTTGATCAAAATGAAAACACATTGGATGTTATTTTGCAAAATCAAAAAAGGCTGGCTAAAGCTATGCGGCAATATAAGGTAAAATATAAATTTTGAATAAATTATTTAATTGTTTTTCCTAGATTCCAATTGCTTTGGTCGGTGAGACAGACTCTCAAACATCAACAGCTACTCACAGCAAAGATCCTCTCGTAAGTCGAGTCATTTATCATTTTTTGCCCAAATACTTTTTTTAATAGATTTCCAAATCCAGTACCGGTGAAGAAGTTGATCTTCTTCTTATTTCAGCTGACAAAACGAAGCCTAATAAATTTGTATTAAGTGCCATTGATAAACTATTCACCGATAAAGATCTTTTTGCGATTGATCCACGTTCTATGGAAGATGATCATCGAATTCTTTCTATTCAAAGTTAGTTCATCTAAATTAAAATGTATGCATACTGTGTTTTTATTCTAGATGCTGTTCAAATAAAATTTGGTCTAAAAACTGATGAATTAAGAACTGTTTGGCAACCAATGCTTGAGTGTATTAAATCACGACGACGAAACACAAAAAATAACTAGCAACACGTGCTAAACCTGGTATGCCTTTCCAAATTCTAATATATACTTCAATGATTCATTTTTATAGGTGACAATATTAGTGATAATGATAATGAAAATCAATTACCATCTTTACCACCATCAATTCCACAAAATATCAACAATGCAGAAACACACGAACATTTCTAATTAATATTCTTATTGAAAAACTTTGTATGAGATATTATTTTGTTATATTTATTGCACCAATTGTAATTGATCTGATTTTTCTCTCTGATTTCTACTTCTATTTTTTTCTAAATAAAAGCTAATTAAAAAAAATAAATACATGTAGTCGATCTAAAGCAAAATCGCTGATTTATCGGGATTATATGAGGTACGATCAACGATAATATCACGGTTGTTATATGAAAAATCGGTAAATAAATCGCGATTTATCGTAAAAATCGCTGAAATTATGGTAAAAAATCGGCGATGAATCGCGATTAATTGCTGATCTTTCCCGATTTCAAGGACATGGGTAGACAATTTACTTTCACTCACAACCATCCACACTCCACATCCACCCACATTCTTAAGGGCTGAGTTGTTCAAGAAACTCTTATTCTATTTTTTCAATGACTTTCTCAAACAACAAAATTAATATATTTTTCATAATTGACTTCGTAATATAAATTGCTTAGAGCAAGTCATCAGGTTCAATTAAAATAAAAAACATTGTATAGTTTTTTGACATCCTAATAATTGTAAGTTTATATTGACAACTAAAACTAAATTTATTCTTCTGCTAAAAAGATATTTATTCGGCGTTTTCACGCTTTAAACTCAAGACGAAATGTACTATCAAATTTTTTTCTCAAGTTCCTGATATTCTACTCATAGTTCAGTTTGAAAACATCTTTTTCGTATCACATGATAGAAAATAAATAGATTGAGATATTATTCTTAATATATATTTTTTTCTTCTTAATTGATAAACTTGATTTTAATTATTTTTTGCACTAATTACAGCGCTTGGCCCTAATAAGGACAGCTTTTCAAACGCCTTGAGAATTTCATTTTTTTTTCAAAAATTTTACATACGATGATATAATTTTTTCATATATTTGACTAGAGAAATGTCAGCT